TCCCCTCACAGAAGGGTCACAAGGAAGAGATGAGCCAGTCAGGGTGCAGTATAGCACTGATGAAATACACAACTTTCCTCTAGTTCTTTGGTGCTTCCTTCCCCCCACTATCGTGACCTCAATTCTACCTTACAAATCAGATTAGACCAGAACAAGCACACTGCTATGGATAATAGCCTGCAATACAGGGAATCCATGGTAGATAAACCCCTCAGTGCCAACAATGAGAATAGAGATACCAGGAGGATAAGGGGAAGTTGGGTGTAGAAAGGGGGAATCGATCACAAGGATCAACATATCACCCCTCCCAAGGGGACGGATGAACAACAGAAAAGTGGGTGAAGGGTGACAGAGGATGATGTAATATATGAAAATAATCTATAACTTATCAAGGGTTCATGAAGAAGGGAGGGCGGGGGAGGGAGAGGGAAATGAGGAGCTGATATCAAGGCCTCAAGTAGAAAGAAAATGCTTTGAAAAGGATGATGGCAACATAGGTACAAATGTGCTTGACACAATGGATGAATGTGTGGATTGTGATAAGAGATATAAGAGCCCCCAGTAAAAAGTATTTAATTAAAAAGTTTATGGAAGCAGATTGCCATATCGTTCTCCCAATGATTCCAACCATTGACCTTTGGGTTAGCGACCCAACACTCACCCAATGTGCCACCAAGCTTCCTTCCATGTCAGTGTAGATACTATTGTATTGCACAATTATAAATAGGAATCTCTATCTTCAACAAAGAAGAGGTACGTTCTTTTATAATTGCCCTCATGAGTTAGCTCAAAGAATTCCCCATATTGTTTTCTAAAATGTATATAGATGTGATAGTTTGCAATACTGTATTAACTTCTTGAAAACAAGTCACCGAGTTCTAATTTACATTCATACTCATAGATCACTGTATTTGGTATCTATGATTTCTTTTAACAGTCCTTTGATCTTTTAATTAAAAAACTAAATATACATTTTGACAACATTATAAAAGCTTGTTGATAGAGCTGTTTAGGAAAATAATAATTACTGTTGCTATACGGAGCTACTTTTAATTTATTTCCTTCAAATATTTTTTTCCTGGGCTCTCAGATTATCCATGTGGATTATAATTTATATGATGGACTTTTTCCTGACTCTTCCGGGGACTCATCTGTAGTCACAGGACCTTTTTCAATGTTGGTTTTTGACTGTCTTCTCTACTTGGTTCTGGCGTTATACTGGGACACAATCTTACCGTGTAAGTAATTGCAAGTTTTTCTCCAACCTCTCTAAGTATTGTACTACATTGAATACTTTTTCTTACACTCATGTAAATATATTTAAAGAAATAAAGAATAACAAGTATTTCCCACCACAGGCTGAATGAGTTCTCCATATGCACTCTATAGTTTTAAAGATCTGAGGGAATTTTAATGTAAACATGATTGTTCCCAGTTTAATTTAACAATACATGATTACTACATGATAATAAAATTTTAGCACATATTATAATTATAGAGTAGTCAAATGCTGTCGGTCCTGCCAAGGATTCCTGACTATATTTCTGAATTAGATTAAGGATTTATACTAGAATCAGCTAGAATAAATTCATTCTTAAGATTGCTTATGAACCGCAGAGCCATAGTCCTGTGTTACCTGCTGCCATCGAGTCGATTCTAACTCATAGCAACCTCATGTAGGTTTATTACCATCAAGAGCCCTGTGTAGGATTTCTGAGGTTTTATGGCATAGTGGTTTATGTGTTGGGCTGTTAACCACAAGGTCGCTAGTTCAAAACTTCCCGACCCATGAGAGAAAGATGAGACTTTCTACTCCCTTGAAGATTTACAGTCTCAATACACAAGGCGGTTCTACTCTGTCCTATAAACTTGTTAAGAGTAGGAGTAGGACTCCATGGTAGTGTGATGAGGTGAGACATCTTTATGAGACCTGACAGCCTATCCTCATCTTTCTCTTCATCTTTTTCACCAAGCGACTGGAGGGTTTGAATCACAAATCTTTTGGTCCAAGGCTTAGCCAACAGCACCACCGGGGATAGTAGTACTATGTTCATGCCTCTTATACGATATTTTTATTAACAAGGATGCGGAGCTGGTTAAAAATTCAACACAGATGGGAGCTCAAGGGGATACAGCCAGTCTTTTCTTTCCTTCTCCTTTTGCAGGGAGGTTCATTTCTGAAAGGGAGTGTTCCATTCTTTAAAGAAATAGCAGAAATGAAAATGAGAAAGTATGGTTTTAGCATTATCCTCAAATCTTTTCATACATGGAGTATCTTTACAGACGTGCATTACCCAGTTAGATTTTCTTTGTCTTGGGAACAACCAGAAATTTCACTGAAACAAAGAATTCCTTTAAACATACGGGAATTAGAATGCTTTCTTTTGCAAATTTTTACTTACTTGTCTTATTTTATGTGGTCCATCCACCTTGGTTACAGCTAAGATGGTCTCAGATGTTTCTATGTATGGCCTTACATCTATTTCTGCCTTCCTGCCACTTCTGGTTCATATCTGAAGACCCTTACTAAAAATTACTGTTACATTTTTTTGAAGTCTGGAGTTTTTCATCTATTTTTTTCTAAACAAATATTATCTATCCATGTACTTGTCATTCCTATATTTTCATGTGATGTGCAATTGTTGGGTTGTGGTTATATGATTTGTTGGGTTCACAAACATGCTTGCTGTTGTTTTTATGTGCCATATGCCAGTTTTGTATCTCTGCAAATACTTAGTTTCATATATTCCTCTAAGTACCTTTAAAAATGGATTTATCCAAAAATTCTTATTTGTACTTGTCGAAAGTTGTACTGTATTGCTTAAGTTTTGTGATAATCTATTGTCTGTTGGATTTTCATTGTTTACTTCATCATCACATCTTATCTCAATGTAAAGCTAAAAAGGAAAAAAATTCATAATGCTTATAAATCCAAGGCATTAGGCACTTTTATGATTAGATTTCTTTACGCATTGGGTTTACAGTACTGATCCGATGTTTTATTGTCTCTTGGTTACTTAGATGGGAATGAGCGTCGACATGCTCTACTATTTTTCCTGAACTCATCAAATTGCATCCAACAGCGAAGGATTGATAGAGCCATTGAGAAAGAAATAGATCCCGAGCATTCTCCCGATGACTGCTTTGAGCCAGTAGCGCCAGAATTCCAAGGAAAGGAAGCCATCAGGTAACCACACAGCTAGTTATTCATACAGGGGTGTGCAAGACTAAAGGCCGGCCAACCAACAGCAGTAACGTGAGTCTTGGGTAAGAGATGCAGAGACTCGAGCCTTGTTTTGACGATCTCCCCTTTGGATTGCTCCATCGTCATCACCTCCTGTTTCCTCCAGCTGCTCCTTGAAAAGGATGTCCCTTTCCTCTGATTCGTTCCAGGTAGTGAGGACTGGTCCACCCTCTAGCTGATCTTTCTCTGCTTCTGTCTTTGATGCCCTGCTTCTCGTTTAAACTTACTTTGCTCATTCTCTGAACTCCTTGGCTCATCGTTTTGTCCGGCATATTGTTGCTAGATGCCAGCCACTTGGTCCCAACCCACAGGGACCTTGCCTACCACAGAACAAAACACGGCCTGGTCTGGCACCGTTCTCCCTATTGCTATGTACGAGCCCATAATTGCAACCACTGTATCGATCCATCTTGTCCTTTTTTTTTCTTTCTCCATGAGCCTCTACTTTACCAAGCATGAGGTCTCTCTCCAAGGACTGGTCTGCCCTGGTAACATGTCCAAAGTATGTGAGATGAAGTTCCACAATCCTTATTTCTAAGAAGAATTTTGGCTGTACTTCTGCAAGATAGATTTGTTTATGCAGTCCATGATGATCTATTCAATAGAGTTTAGCAACACCATTATTAAAATGTATCTAATTTCCTTTTGTCTTCCTTGTTCATTATCCAACGTTCACATGTAGATGAGACGATTGAAAATACTATGGCTTGAGTCAAACTGCAATAATCCTCAAAGTGTGAATTCTGTTCTTTATCCTTTTAAAGATATCTTTTGTAGAAGATTTTTTCCAATCATGTATGTCATTTGATTTCTCAACTGTTACGTCCACAAATGTTTATTTTGGATCCAATGAAATGAACCCCGTGACAGCTCCTATCTTTTAAAAATGTATCATGGTATTGTTTACTGATCTAGTTGTGAGTATTTTATCTGCTTTATGTTGAGGTGTAATCTATACTGAAGGCTGAATTCTTTGATCTTCATGTTGTCTAATATATACATGTATAGACGGAGTAATTTGAGTTCAGAAAATCTTGGAAAAATAAATAAAGTTCTCTAACCCTTCATGTCCTTTATGAAATGAAAGTGACCTCAATTTTGAAAGGTTGTTATGACATTCAATATATAACATAATCATGAGTCTCTCTTTAACTTATCTGTGTTTAATATGTAAATAATCACAGGAGGAGCCCTTAAAAATTTGCAAAAACCCTTCCCACTAGGGATTCTAAAGCATCATAGGATTAAACCCAAGTATCTGTGGGTTTTAAACAACCCTGTGGATTTTTCTAATGTATACTAATAGTAAAAATAATAAAATTTAACAATATATGTCATTTGTTTATTTAACAGATCCTCACTTTGTGTTTACCACGTACCAGATATACAATTAATTTCCACACACAAAAAATTTAACGAGGTCATCCTCTTATTTTCTCCACTTTACAGAGGAGCAAAATGAAGTGTTGAATGGTTAAGTATCTTATCCCAGATTTCATAACCGGTAAATGGGATATTGGGATGGGAATCCAGTCAGGCTGGCTCCAGTTTGTGTCCTTAACCTCTTTGTCCTGTTAAGACGTGAAGAGGCAAACGAAGATGAGAGAATAGGACCTTGTAGCTAAGAAGTGAAACCTGTCTTTGTAAGGCAAAGAACACACCTACTCACCTGCCTACCCAAGCTTCATCCTCCCAATTCTATTTTCTGCTCAGCCTTCTGAGAGGACAGCAGGACACATCCTGTCACTCCACTCCCCACCCCCCACCGCCCAGTCCCCCCTTCGACTCAACATGGACGCTAGCAACCCTGTGGCACCATCTCTCCCAAAGTGAAAGGCCACGTAAGGAATACCAAAAATAAAATCCCCCAAATCTATAGCTGTCAAGTTGACTGCAACTGTTGGCAGCCCTATAGGACAGTGGTTAAGCACTCAGCTGCTAACTAAAATGCCAGTGGGTCAAACCCACCAGCCAATCCAAAGGTGAAAAATATAACATCCTGCTTCCTGAAAGATTCCTGCCTTAAAACCCAGTGGGGCAGATCTACTCTGTCCCATTGTCCTGTAGAGTCACTATGAATGTTAGCAATCATTCCTCAACACTCAATCTCAATTTCTTCAACCCTTTTTTGTGGCCACAAAAATGAAATTATCAGGTCATTCAAATGATATGATAATCTTTCAGATCCATTCTAAGAAAATCGTAGGGTTAACTCACAAAGATAAAAAATAACAAAACAAAACAAAAAACCCAGTAGTTCACTTTGTTCTACTACTACTTAGTGGCCAAAGAAAGGAAGAGAAATATCTTCTTTTGAATCCCGGGCCAATCAGGGCAGTGTTGGCTGTGGGCATCTTTGCCTTGTGGTCTGGATTGAGGACAAAGTGCTGTACACACAGCTATTAGGAAAGTGGTTGTTCTGCAGGCACACTAAGCTGCCCTTTCTCTACCCAACATTCGATGTAGTTTCCAATCGAAGATTGTATGGATGAATTCTTCATGGTGATTTTATGTTAGGGATAACATTGCCCTTCTCCACTACTGCAGAGTGACCACCTCTTTCCCCATCAACTCCAACACTGGAACTTGGGTTTTTAGGGAGGTAGAAAGTATTGAAGCATGGGTGGAGTGCCCAGGTCTGGAAAAACAGCTGCTTACAGAAAATTTGGAGGTCATTGTCCACTCAGAGGTATCTCAAATGTAAGACCTGGTGATCTGGAAAAAAAAGCAGCCCTTGTCTGCTCGGACACAGATGGGGTTACCAAGGCATGGGATCAACTCGACGACAGCCAGTTTTCAGGGTATGGATGCCCCCCCACCCCCGAGGGAGTTTCTGTACCCTGTATATAAACCTCCTACTTTCCCCCCTTTCCCTAGCAGCCTTTGAGCTCTGTGAATCAGGGCCTCAGGAGACGAGGCTCTAGAATTCGTATCAGAAGGAAGAATCTGGCTCCATACAAATAGCCAGTTTTTATTTCCTTCATTGGTGACCCCTCGCTCACCTCGCTGAGGGCTTTTGTGTGTCCATCTGTACATTCCTGTCACCCAAGACCATCCAGGCAACATTCCCAGAGTACAGGCCAGACGTCAGTGGATAGTTTCATCTCTAAAACCTGAAAACAACCAGCTGTGCCTACATGGAACTTGCTTCTTTCAAAGGAGACCCTTAAGGTCCCTCTTTGCTGTAGGGGCGGCCACACCAAGGAAGTCTGTCCCACCTCATCTACTCCCACTCATGAATAGCGGCCCTCGTCTCTCATTTGATTTCTGCTCAGAAAGGAGGGTGAGTGGACATTGTTTCCATTTGAACCTTGGTGGTTCTAACATCTTCGGTATGTCCAGACTGGCTCCTGCCTCACCTGGTGCTTCTGTGAACTTAGCTTAGTGCATCTTCTCTGTTCTCCGGCCTCCAGCTGATGGTCGCCTCCTTCCAAGTTACTCAGTCTTTGCTGGCAGAAGCCATGACTTCCTCCTTTGTTCAACAAACACAGATTTGCACTTGCTATGTTCTAGGTAGTCTTTAATTTTCAACCTCAGGGGGAAGTGATGCACCAGAAAGAAACATTAGCTTTTGTTGTTTTGCCTGGACTGGTATCTAAGAGATCTAGTCATTTGTGTTCTTACAGCTTTGATAGGTAGAAGTCTGAATTCAGGGTACCGGTCTAGGAGGTAGCTTTCTCTCTCTGCCGGCTCCTAGGGGAAGGCTCTTTTCTCATGACATCTGCTGTTTCTTGGCTCCTTGATGCACATCATGTGGCATGTGCCCTATCTTCCCTTCTCTCTGTAGTGTTTTCTCTACTCTTGTTATATCTCAAGGGATTAACTCAAGACACACTGTACCAATACTGATTCCTTAACATAACACAGGAAGCCTATTCCAAAGTGGGATTTTAATTGCAGGTTGACAATTCACAACCTCTGCTTATGAGGTATGCAGTTCGATTTTGAACCGGTGATTATGCCCTATTTTGAGGCCACCGTGCTGTTGCTATCGCAACCTGAATTTACAAGAAGTGGTTGATGGTGTCTTTCCGCCTGACCAGGGTGACTGATGATCGTACGATTTCTACGTTTGCGTTTGATAAGTATTACTTCTGTTGTTTCAGAATCCGAAATATTAAAAAAGAATATAAAGGGAAGTCTGGAAAAGTGGAAGCATTGAAAGGTAAAGTGTTTCACTGTTTCATTGACCATTTTTAAATAAAAGATGAGAAAAAATTCCATGCGAAAACAGCAAAGCAAATAAGCAAAAAGAATGTAATGCATATAACTCGACCATGTGGAAATTCACCACAGTTCAGGATTTGATCAGTCTTCCGTAGAGTTGATTGATTTTTTTAAAATTTGGAAAAATAATACTATACAATGGAAGGATGTGGTTTCTCTTCGTTTTTTTGTTTTTTTTTTAATGAATCTATTTACAGTACTATTTGCTTTGATTTGAACTACGAGTGAAGAAGAACGTATCTAGGCTTAAAATCTGAATTTTTTATGCTAGCAAAGGATTTTACAAGGATTATACATACTGCTGAGATGCACAGTGATTATAATCATTGCTAGGAAATTCAATTTCACAAGTCAATATCTTGTGATAAGCACAAGATATTGTTTCTCATGGTTCATTTATGATCTTAAATGAACACACAGTTGATATAAAATGATCCAACAAATACGGTTTTCTGAAACAACCATTCAGATAAGCACTGAGGTCACCACCTCATAGCACAACCATATTTACAGTTTCTCTCTATGAATAATGATCTTTAGGAGGAATTGAGATGATTTTTACTCTCATAGACAGAAATCATAAGTGGAAATGAAGAACTCCTAAGGCTGAGCGCAACCACTTTGTTAATATTGGGTTTCTTTTCTAACTGCCACTATGCTCCTTAGTGGAAGCATACTTTACAAATGATATTACATATTTTTAAGATTCAGTGTCTATTTTGGAAATCTAATGAATTTGTGTCAGGACGTTGATTCTCTTTCTTACTTTTTCTCACCAAATTCCTTTCTTTCTTTAAATTTAATGAGGGATATACTGATTCACAGGGCACCTTATAGACTACCTTTTGACCCTCAAAAATCATGAACTTCTCTTTATTGAAACAGTTTCAACATCTGCAAGAATTTTTGGTTTTAATGGTACAAGTACTTTTAGAATGAAAACAATATAGCCCTAGATTATATATAATATGTTTAAGTATATGCATATATGTTTATATTATATGATGTATGCACAGGGAGCCGTGGTAGCTTAGCGGGGCACGTGTTGGGCTGCTAACCGCGAGGTTAGCATTTGAAACCACCAGCTGCTCTTAGAGCGAAAGGTGAGGCTTTCGACCCCCATCAAGTCCCAGTCCCAGAATCCCCAAACCGCAGGTCTACTCTGCTCTCTAGGGTCGCTGTGAGTCAGCGTTGACACAAGGGCAGCGAGTTTGGTTTGGGTTTGGACACAGAGCCAGCGATAGTTGCTCTTCCGGAAATACCCGTGGGCGGCTGGGAGGAAAGCTTCCCTCAAGTCCTTATTCTTCGTGCAACTTTGGGACACCTTTGGGAGCAGACCTTTGAAGTCCTTTGTCTAAGGCTATTTTTTAATGGCTAAACTACACTGCATTGATTAAGCATGATGATTTACTTAATTAACACATTGATGTTAGGCTATTATTTCCAGTTCATCACGATCATAAAAAACTCTAGAGTGAATTCTTGCTAAGTCTTTGAAAGGCTGTTAATTATTTCTTGGGTATAAATTTCTAGAAGCATAACTTATTCAGTTAAAGGAACACCTAAATAAGATTCTCAATTCATATTCTGGACTGCTCACTTGCAAGGTTATAAAAAGACATACTCTCACAAACCCCAAACCTAACTCATTGCTAGCCATCAATTTTGACTCAAAGCCACCCTATAGGAGAGGGGAGAGCTGGTGTTTTGAGGCAGTACCTGTTTAAGGAATAGAAAGCCTTGTCTTTTCCCTAAGGAGTGGCTGGCTGGTGGTTTGAACTGTTGACCTTGAAGTTCATCCAACATGTAACTCCCAGGGCCCCTCTAGTCTCAGAAGCAGTACATAATTAATAATATTAATAACATCCAAACACTTCATGTTTGAGCATGTGGGAACTCTTAATTGATATCCATAAAATTCTTTTACCTTTATTTTTATGAGAAATATTAACATTTTCTTCATTTTTTTTTTCTAATGAGGAAACTAAGGCTCATTCGTATTTGTGTTTCATAAAGGTAATTTCCAGGACAATGGAGTCACTTTCCTCTTTTGAACATCCTATGATTTTTTAAAATTTATAAACGATATATTTAAGATTAAGGGGGGAA